GCCTCCTCCCTCAGCCTCACCCGAATCAGGGCCTCCAGAGCATTCTGGGCATTAGCGAGTCCCTGGGCAAGGAGCGTCCCGGGCACCTCCTTGGGGGCCGGAGCAGCTCATTCCAGGACATCTGGGACAGGAAAGGTACCGGGAATGAACCGGGGTGCTAGTACCCAGGACCAAAAGCCAGGGGCTGCCAGAAATACCCATTAACTCGCAATTCCCAGCCTCCTCTTAAACAGGCTCATTCCCGGGTTCTCCTTTGAGACCGGGAGCGGCCTCCCAGCCCCACCCCCGACTCCCCTTCCCCCCTCAGGAGATGGACACTTTATAGGGAGAGCTTTTTATTCTCTCTTTAAACCTGCCAAAGCGCAGGAGACGGAGAGCCGGGGAGGGAGAGGAGAAGGAGGTGGGGCCCGGCCCCTTGTCCCCTCTCCCTCCGCCCACCACGCCTCCCCTCCCCCCGGACGTGGAACTGGGACTCTGCAAACTGGAAAGCCGCGAAAGGACACCTCCTTCCTTTTCTCTCGTGTTGTTTTTAAGAGCAATGAGAGAGACATTGGTATGAGAGAAGAGTGGAGAGGGAAAAGAAGAGAGAAAGGGAGAAAAGAGAGACAGGAGAGAGAGAAAGAGCAAGAGAGAGAAAGAGAGAAAGAAAAAATAGGCTGGGATAAAGTATTTCAGCAGTTTCTGCCTTGGGGTTTTATTAGCTTCTCGCCCCCAGGCCGCGGCCAATCAGCGCGCGTGCCCGGGCCCTGCGTCTCTTGCGTCAGGACGGCCGTGCTGAGCGAATGCAGCGCCCTGCGAGCTAGGAGCGATTTAAAACGCTTTGGATTCCCCGGGCCTGGGTGGGGAGAGCGAGCTGGGTGCCCCCTAGATTCCCCACCCCTGCACCCCATGAGCCGACCCTCGGCTCCATGGAGCCCGGCAATTATGCCACCTTGGACGGAGCCAAGGATATCGAAGGCTTGCTGGGAGCGGGAGGGGGGCGGAATCTGGTCGCCCACTCCCCTCTGACCAGCCACCCAGCGGCACCTACGCTGATGCCTGCCGTCAACTATGCCCCTTTGGATCTGCCAGGCTCTGCGGAGCCGCCAAAGCAATGCCACCCATGCTCCGGGGTGCCCCAGGGGGCGTCCCCAGCTCCCGTGCCTTATGGCTACTTTGGAGGCGGGTACTACTCCTGCCGAGTGTCCCGGAGCTCGCTGAAACCCTGTGCCCAGGCGGCCACCCTGGCTGCCTACCCTGCGGAGACTCCCACGGCTGGGGAAGAGTACCCCAGCCGCCCCACTGAGTTTGCCTTCTATCCGGGATACCCGGGAACCTACCAGCCTATGGCCAGTTACCTGGACGTGTCCGTGGTGCAGACCCTGGGTGCTCCTGGGGAGCCGCGACATGAATCGCTGTTGCCCGTGGACAGTTACCAGTCCTGGGCCCTCGCCGGTGGCTGGAACAGCCAGGTGTGTTGCCAGGGAGAACAGAACCCACCAGGTCCCTTCTGGAAGGCAGCATTTACAGGTAATCTCTATTACTCTGGGTTCCCTTGCCTCTGAGCCTGGGTTTGTGGATCCCATTGGCACTTCCCTGGGAGGAGGAGGAGGGAGACTTGGGGCTGGTGAGGATGAACTTGGTGCTCCTCCCTTGGTTATTAGGACTCTGAGGGAGGGTTTGGCAGCTGGAATGCCTGGATGGAGTCAATGTGAGGGGCCTGAGCTGGGTGCCATCTGAAGCCTGAGGGCCACCTCACTTCTCCGGGAGACCCTGGGACCAGCCTTTCAATACGTCTGAGAGGTTTGGATCTCTTTGCTGTTGAGTAGGGATCAGGGTGTCCCTACCCAGCACAATTCTGGACTAATTCTATACAAAGGCTAAATAACTCTCAATTCGGTGAGTGGGGAGTGGATGTGGGAGATGCTAAAAAGGTATTGGATGTTCTGTAGAGAATATAACCCGTCACTTTCTATTAGATGAGTTTTCCAATTTCTAAAGAAAAATTTAGGTTTCCTGCAGCCATGACATAGGTGTGTGCGTTGGAATGGGTGAGAGAGAGAGTGTATGTGTGTGTGTGTGTGTGTGCACACGCGCGTGTGTATGTGCATGTATTGGGAGTGGGGACAGAAATGTGTTTCCAGAATTTGCTTGTAGAATCTACAAGAGTGGCCAAGAGTCTGGAAATGCATGAAGAGTGGACACGTGATGGTGGGCAAAGGCCTGTGTGTGGTGTGTGGGTGTGTTTGCAGACTCTAGGGTGGAGAGCTGTGATGGGTGAGGGTGGCCAGCAGGAGCCACGGCTGAGCGGTGGTGAGAGAATAAGCCAGAAGCTGGGTTGTCCTTGTGTGCTTTGGAGGAACAGGATCCAATGTACACCTGTAGGGTGACCTGGGTGCACCTGTGGGATGACTTAGTTTGGGGCTTGCAGGGCCTGGGTCTGCCTGGGTGGGGATCTGACCGTGCCTTTTTCTCCCTCCCTTTCCTGCTGCACAGACTCCAGCGGGCAGCACCCTCCTGACGCCTGCGCCTTTCGTCGCGGCCGCAAGAAACGCATTCCGTATAGCAAGGGGCAGTTGCGGGAGCTGGAGCGGGAGTATGCGGCAAGCAAGTTCATCACCAAGGACAAGAGGCGCAAGATCTCAGCTGCCACCAGCCTCTCGGAGCGCCAGATCACCATCTGGTTTCAGAACCGCCGGGTCAAAGAGAAGAAGGTTCTCGCCAAGGTGAAGAACAGCGCTACCCCTTGAGAGATCTTCCTGCCTGGGTGGGAGGAGGGAAAGCGGGGGTGTCCTGGGGAGAACAGGAACCTGTCAAGCCCAGGCTGGGGCCAAGGACTCTGCTGAGAGGCCTCTAGAGACAACACCCTTCCCAGGTCACTGGCTCCTGGACTGTTCCTTAGGAGCGGCCTGGGTACCCAGTATGTGCTGGAAGAGGGAAGCCCCATGTGACAGCCCATTCCACCAGGGTTCCCAAAGAACCTGTTGCAGTCATAATCATTCATCTTGACAGTGGCGATAATCACTATAACCAGTACTAGCTGCCATGATCATTAGCCTCATATTTTCTATCTAGAGCTCTGTAGAGCACTTTAGAAACTGCTTCCATGACTTGAGCTGATTATGAATAAATTTGGAAGGCGATCCCTTTGCAGGGAAGCTTTCTCTCAGACCCCCTTCCGTTTACACCCCCCATGCTGGTACCAGCAGGAAGACTGAGGACAGGAGAAAGGGCAGGTTCGCGTGTGTGGCTGTGATGTCCATTTAGCATTTTTCTCGGATGACAGCTGGGCAGGTAGACAATTGTAGAGGCTGCCTCTTCCTCCCTCCTTGTCCACCCCATAGGTTGTACCCACTGGTCTCAGAAGTCCCCATCCTTAACTCTTAGATTTTCTCCCATCATGTGAAAATGAAGCAAGCAGGCTGCCCCTAGTCAGTCCTTCCTTCCAGAGAAAAAGCGGTCTGAGAAAATGCCTGGGTAATTCACCATTCATTTCCTCCCCAAAACTCATCATCTTCCTTTAATATTTCTGGTGGTTCTGACCAAACCAGGTCATGGTTTGTTGGGCATTTGGGAGCCCAGTGAAGTAGATGTTTGTGGCCTCGCATACTCAGTTCTCCCAGGCACAAACAGCAGTTGCAGAAAAAGAGTAGTGTTCTTTGCTACCCTCAGGCAGCCCCAGACAATAGGGCAGGAGAGAAAACCAGAAAATGGCCTCTTCACTACTCATTTTCTGCTCTGCCTCCCCCTGACATCCAGAGGAGCTTTCAGGCCAGGGAGAGGGGGCAGGCCCTTTTGCAGTTGAAAGAGCAGCGGTTGGTGGAAGAGCAAAGACCCAGGCTCAGGGTTGGGGAACCCCAGGCTGCTGATGGGACAGTGGCTGTGGACTTCATTTCCTTTTCATTTTGTCCTGGCTCCCTCCAGTACCCTGAATCCCAGGTGGGTGGAGGGCAGAGTGGTGCTAACCCTGTTTTCCCCAGTCCACGTAGACAGATACACAGTGCAGAATTATGGAAGCTGGAGACAGACGGGCTCTGAGACGGACATGGGGGCCTCTGCCCCTGTGCCCATTCTCTGATGTCGTGTACTTGGGCTCAGTGGCCGATGGGACTCATTGCCGGAAAGCCAGCAGGTTCATGCTGGGCCTTCCTGTACCCTAGGCCAGGGGTGGGGGTCCTGCAGACACTTTCTTCACAATTGAGTGCACAAGCCTGAAGCCTGGAGAACGCGCAGAACCCGCAGAACCGAAGTTTAGAGCAGCAGGCCCGCAGCGAGCAGTCAGCGGTGGGCTGCGGCCGCCACTACCTCAGGGACCTTTCCCTCCCGATCCAGCTCTCCAAGAAACCCCGCGGCGGCCAAGGGATTCGAGTGTTTACGGCCTGCGGTCGGGTGGGATTCAGCTTCTCTCCCGGGAAGGAGTGAGGGTGGGAAGTGACTTAGACTCCTACAGATCTATTTACCAAAGAGGAGCCTGGACTGAGGGACATGGCTAAAGAGTGTGAGTGAATGGGGACTGGGGGGTCCGGGAAAGAGGACGAGGAGGAGGAAGAGGAGGTCGATTATCTGATTTAAAAAATCTTCCAAGCCCAGTTTAAGGGCTCGGTTACATGCACCGCTCAGAGGAGGTCACTTTCTGCCCTCCGCGTCCTCCTTCAAGCGAAGCCCATGTGGATAGCTTTTAATATCTCAGGTTCTTGCTCCTCTGTCTCTATAAGCCCAAACCGGACCAACGCTCAGGCAAGCAAACCCCTCCCTCGCCAATTTCGGAAGTGGAGAGTTCGGAACTTCGAGAGTTCAGCGTAGATGGGCCTGTGGGGAGGGGGCGAGATAGAAGAGGGGGAGCGGCGTGGTGTGGGGTGCCCCCTTGGAGAGAGGGAAAAGGCCACAAGAGGGGCTGCCATCTCCACTAACGAAGATGGCCCTGGTAGAGTTAGAGGTCTGGGACCTCTGCTATCAGGAACTTAAACTTAAGGCGCTTCTCTGTTTTTCGCTCGCAATAAATTCAGAGCAAACAAAAGATGTGGAATCTTAGATTTATTCCACCAGCGTGTTAGGATCATTAAAAAGACAAGGGCGCCCCCTCCCGGGAGAGGCTCGCCACTCCAGGAGAACCTGCGGGCAGGCTTTCAACCCCCGCGGAGCTACCTGCTTTCCGCAGCCTGGAGCCTCGGGGTACTGGGCTGCGTGTGGGGGCCTCAGGACCCGATGTCGCCTGCCATTCGGCCAGGGCATCGGGAGATGCATTGGTCCAGCCCCCAAGAGACCCAGGAAGAAGGCAAGGAGGTTCGGAACAAGCGATCTCTAATGGAAGAAGGAGGTCCGGCTCCGGGAGCCAGGCCGCGGCGCCCTCCGCCCTCCGTCCCTGTCTTCGTTTGTAATATATTTATCTTCCACACCATAACAATTCGCGGTAGACGCCCCCCGACCTTTTTTTTTCGATTTGTTTGTATAGAACCTGTGCGAAAAATACTTAATTTCGTTTTGTATTAAGCCCTTTTATTGAGAATCCCTACCCAAACAATTTTAGTCTCCCACCTATCCCTGACCCACCACATTGAAATCTCTCTCATTTGCCTTTAAATCACAACAAAATCCGCACACCTACACTTGCCTGCAGCTATTTACTTTTAAATAAGGGCCATGTTAAGCTACAGGAGGAAATGTTATGCTTACCATTCGGACAAACGTGTGAACACATGTCACAATAGATGAATCCAGACAACATTGTCACAAATAAACGCAGAGGCACACACAGATATTCCGGAAAACAAGCAGGGCGCCTTTTCACCAACAAGGCGCAATTGTACTCTGAGCTGCGTCCCAGACGTTTCCCCTCCCTCGGAGCCAAACACCACCTCCCGCAGCGAGTCTCTCGGCAGGCGGGGAAACAGGATCGGAGGGTCGCGTCTACGCGGGCTCCAGGCCCGAAATCACTTCCAACTCCAAAGCAGGTGGATTTCATTAGGCCTCCAGAAGTCAAATAAAGGAGTCGTGGCGAAATGCGTAAACACTACCTCCGGAAGCTCTTTTGAAATCTCGGTTCCAGCATCCGAAACGCAGAGAGCGAACCTGAGGCTCCATCTTTCGGGTTTTACTCCGGCTGAGGAGCGCTTCCGGGGACCCTGCAAGGCCACCGCCGGCCGAGCATCCGCTCTGCCTTCTGCACGCGATCCCTACTCCAAGTAGTAGCTCCAGGGCCGGAAGCTGGAAAGCCCCCGAAGCAGGAAAAAGCCCAGTCCAGGCCCCCCAGCTCTCGGGAGCAGCTCCGGCTTTCCTCCCCCAACCCGAAGCAAACTTCTCTTCCCTGCAGCTCCCCTCCTCCCCTTCATTAAAGTTGTATTCAAGGTTCTAAGTGCTGTACTCTAGTTTTCCTTCAGGGGAGACTCTGTGACCCCCAGCCCCCAGACCCCCGCCCTGTCTAATAGAAACCTCGGAGCTACAACCGCGAATTAAATAAATGAACTCGTTACCGTAAACTTGCAATAAAGCCCGGAGGCGACTGCTGCGGAGGGGGCAAAAGGAGGTTTCATTGTTTTTGAAGTTTATACCATTCTCACCCTCCCGAACAGTCGCCCTCCAGGAAAGAGGGGAGAAAGCTCTGGAGCGGCCCTGGGCCTCTCGCACACCAGCAGGACACCCCGCCCCTCCCCCCCAGGCGCTGGCCTGGGCCTGCGACAGATTTAAAACATCCAATGGGGAACCGCTGCCAGCCTTTCTTCCTCTCTCCCTACTAGTTAGTTCTGTGTAGAGGGGATGAAGGGGAGGGGACGAAGTAATCGGGGGAGAGTGAAAGAAAGAATTCTGCTGTTACCCCTCTCCTCCCCTACATTGCCCCCCAACTGGGAGGGTCACAGGGGGCAGCAAAAGAGTTTAATCGCCCTCAGAATAATGCTGGCGCCCAGCCTGGGGGGAGGGTCAGGGACTTTGTCATTGAACTTGAAGTTCCAGGCTGGTGGCCTCCACCACTCCCATCCCCACTTTCCTAAAAGTTTTATGGGAAGAGGGAGGAAGATGAGGGGAAGAGGGGATACCTCTGGCCTCGGGAAAGAGGGAGGAAACCAATCGGGGGAGGAAGGGCCACAGCAACCAGGAGCTCCAGGGGAGATTAGGAGGTTTGCTGTGAGTCCAGGAAGCCTGGGGCTGCTGGGAGGAAACACTCCAGCCTTCGCCCGGACTTGTAGCTATGAGGTGGGGAGCTACCAACCGCAGGCCTTCTCACTGAGCCCCGCCCCAGACTCTACAGGAACAGGGGCACCCAGTGCTCTGCTCCCGTCCTTCCTCTCTCCACCTAAGGTGTGCTAGCAGAGAGCCACTGGGAGGCTCAAACTTTCAGGCGGATGCCTGCCTGCCAGCTCAGGCAAGCTGGATTCTGATCCCCACCTTTGCAGAGAGAGCAGCGATGTTGTGCGCCCATTTCTCAGACCAAGGACCAGCCCATTTTACTACTTCCAAGAGTGCTTTTCTCTCTAATAAGGTAAACTAGCTGATCCGTGGGCCAAGGGCATTACCAGTGGATCTCTCAGTATGGTAGCTGCTTTAGGAGGCCCTGGAAGAGGTTCTCCCAGGAATTTGGGGGCCTTCAGAGGTTTTGGCAAACAAAGGAAGGGCGAGCAGTAGGTTCTCACCAATACCACCTGGCGGGGGCACCTCCTCACTGGTTCCTGGAGAGACCGGCAGCCAACCTGGGCAGAAAGGGAGTTTGCAGCTCTCAGGACCTGCAGGGCATGGGCAGGGGAGAGGCTTGAGGGTGGGAACTAGCACCCGATGTAAGGTCTCCCGCAAGACTTAATGTCTGTCTCCAATCCAATGGAGTCCTGGCAAAAGCAAAATTAATATCGTTAATATTATTATTATTGAAAAGTATACTATTTTACAAAACACCTACTTTGAAAGCTGGGCAAGACCAAGCGTGGTGGCTCAGCCTGTAATCCCAGAACTTTAGGAGGCCAAGGCAGGCAGATCCCTTGAGCCCAGGAGTTTGAGACCAGCCTGGGCAATGTAGCAAGACCCCTGTCTCTATTTATATAATAATTTTTTTTTGTAAAAAGAAACTGGGTGAAAGTTAACAGTGATTTTAACTTTTTTTTTTTTTTTTCTAACTCATCCTTAAAGAAAAATCTCTGGCCTTTAAAAAAATAAAAACGGGCCAGGAACACTGGCTCATGGCTGTAATCCCAGTACTTTGGAAGGCTGAGGTGGGCAGATCACTTGAGGTCAGGAGTTTGAGATCAGCCTGGCCAACATAGTGAAACCTGTCTCTATTAAAGATACAAAAATTAGCTGGGAATTGTGGCTCATGTCTGTAATCCCAGCTACTCAGGAGGCTGAGGCACAAGAATTGCTTGAACCTGGGAGGTGGAGGTTTCAGTGAGCCGAGATTATGCCACTGCACTGCAGCCTGAGTGACAGAGCAAGACTCGATCTCCAAAAAAAAAAAAAAAAAAAAAAAAAAACAAAAAAAAAAAAAAAAAAAAAAAAAAAAAAAAAAAAAAACACACACCCCACCAAAAAAAAAAAAAAAAAAAAAGTAACAATTGTACCTTTTTCTCTGGGCTCTGCGTTTCTTCTCCCCTTTCCGGCACCCTATCAGAAGCTCTGTAGGATCCATGCCACAGCAGGCATGTGTGTGCACAGGGGCTCTGGGTCCAGCACGGAAGCAGACTGGGGCCACATGCCCACATCTCCAGCCAGCCACTGACACTGCCAAGTCATTGGTGTTGGGGTGGGCACAGTAATGCACAAACACGCTCAGGACTCACCTAACTTTCTGAGCTGGCTCCTTCCCTGCCAGTGACCCTCCCATACTGACAAAACCCACAACTAAGTGAGCACTTTATAACCTAAAGAAATTGAGACTAAGAGGGCAACTTACTTGATCAGTGTCACAGTGCCACAGTGACCCAGTGGCAGAGCCTAGGTCCCAAAGCAGGAGCTCTTAACCTTTACCACCAGCTGATAAAATAGAAAACTCAGTGGCTCCTCCACTGTCAACATACCTCTCCCCACAAGGCCCTTCAGACACTGACAAGCACCTATTTCCATCCGGAGTCACCCAGCTGAGATCACACACGTACACCCAAATGCCCTAGACCCAGCCCCTCCTCAGGCACTGGACAGATCCTCATATATGCAAATACAGGGGATTAAACATATGTGGACATTTATATCAACGAGCTATTCATTTACCGAGTTCCACTAGGGGTGGAAGGCAGGAGGAAAGAGATGGAAACATGCTCTCCCTTCCCACGAGGCCTGACTCCTATTAGCTGGTAGATCTTGGGTCTGCAGCTTCCCTGTATGTTACCTGAGGCCAGAGGACTCTATTCCATGACCAAATGACTGCAATCAGAACAAATGGGGAACAGGGAATGAGAGTTGAGAGATTCTCTCTCTCTCTCTCTCTCTCTCTCTCTCACACACACACACACACACACACACACACACACACGGCTTCTGGGAGGCTTCCATGTTTTGGAGAATGCTTGAAATATCAAGGCCGGAAGGGAAGATGTGGGCAAAACTCTGAGGAGGAGGCCAGAAAATGCAGGTCTCGGTGGGTAGGAGGAAGGTGTGGATCCTGGCTCGGGGTGAGCTAGAGCTGGCCGGGCAGAGAGCAGGGGCATCTTGCAGGGTCCTGGGCCTGCGGGCGAAGCCTGGGGAGGAATCAGACGTCCCCTTGCCCACTCAGACGCCGATCGCCTTACCCCCACCCCACGCGTGCACGCACGCGCACTACCCCGCCCCCACGAACTCCGCAGATCCCAGGCGGAGGGCAGAGAGGCAGCTCTCCGTCGGCGGGGTCGGTACTCATCCTGTGAATCCTCGGTTCCCCGACTCTAGGTGAGCCCAGCCAGTCGCCCCCGCCCCAGACCTGCGCCCAGCATTTGTCAGGTTGATGGCTGAAGCTCGCCGCACCTCCCACTCTAGGCAGGGTTTTGTCGTTGGACTTGAGTCAGGCTGTAAACATTCTTTCACCTCTCCGGAGCCGGGCTGAGCGGAGGGGAAGGGCGGAGGGGGCTGTGGCGGGACCCGGAACGTGAGAAGCCCTGCCTCTCCCAATCAAGCCCTCGCGGCTTCATCAAAGAGCTTCTGACCCTTGCCTTCCCGGGACAATCACCGGGCCTGCATCTAAAAGCCGGATTCTTGAGGCCATCGGCAAGTCAGGCCGACATTGTGTAACTTTTTCTCTTCCTCATTGGCATTTCTTTTTTTTTTTTTTTTTTTTTTAGACGGAGTTTTGCTCTTGTTACCCAGGCTGGAGTGCAATGGCACGATCTCGGCTCACCGCAACCTCCGCCTCCTGGGTTCAAGCAATTCTCCTGACTCAGCCTCCCGAGTAGCTGGGACTACAGGCACGCACCATCATGCCCAGCTAATTTTTGTATTTTTAGTAGAGACGAGGTTTCAACATGTTGACCAGGATGGTCTCGATCTCTTGACCTCGTGATCCACCCGCCTCGGCCTCCCAAAGTGCTGGGATTATGGGCGTGAGCCACCGCGCCCGGCCATTTCATGTTCGTTTACCTTATTTTAGCCAGTCCGATTCTTAATTTATTTCAACAATCAGGATAAACAAATGTGTACACAAACGAATTCTAGCTAAGGTCGATAAATTATTAGAGAATGTTCTAGCCGGCCGTCACGAGGCTGTCGCCGCTGGGTTTTACAAGCGCCCCTCCCTCGGCGTGGTAATCCTGGGGGGCCATCGCTCGCCGCGCGATCGGATCTCGGGTTGCCACCGGAGCAGCTGCCGAGCCTCGCAGAGCTCCCGGCCGCCTTCCCAGGACCTGGAATTTTAAACTTCGCAAATGGGGCGTCTCTTTACTCGGTGGCGGAGGACAGAGCGGCCTGGAGAGCCGTCCGACCCGGGAAACCCACGCCTTTCTCCCGGCGACGCGCAGACTGCGGAGGCTGCGAGGAGCGGCCTGCTGAGACGGTAGTGGTGCTGCGTGTGTGTGTGTGTGTGTGTGTGTGTGTGTGTGTGTGTGTATTTAAATAATTCAGGATCTGGAGCAAGGGAGGATCAAACACACGATCCCGGGGGCTCTCCCTGGCTCAGTAAAATCCAGTCGAAGGGGAACGGAGCGCGCCGGCACGCAGGGAGGCGCGGGGGCCACTGTGCGTCTGGCGCGGGCGGCTCGGAGCGCTGGGCTTCCCTTCCAGCCCGTAGCCCCCAGCAGCTCAGCGACACCGGCTAAAGAGATACCAAATCCGGCAATGCAACGAAAAGCGCCCCGCCTTAGTATTTGGGACAGAGACAACGCAGGGTGGCAGGTCCTGGCCGACAAATCGGAAGAGGCCTGCGGGAGTTAGCTGGATTAGGCTCTCCCTGTCCTACCCGCTCCCACTAATTGGGCTTTTACCTGCCACAGAGCCTGCTTGAACCAAAGGGGTTTGCTATCTCCTCCTCCTCCACTTTCTATCCCCAGGCCTTCGGCGGGGCCTGAGAAAGAATCCAGACAACCCTTCTGCCTTTGTCTGACCTTCGGGGAAAAGAGGCGTGGGCGCCTGGGTCAAGTTCACGGACCTGGTCTGCGTCGTTTAGAGCAAGCGAAGGCACCGTTCACATTCTGACGAGAAGGGTTGTAAGCGATTGGGACGGTGTGGGGGAGAAACAAGCTGCGAGAAAGGACTTCCCATTTTAATCTATTGTCCCAGTCTCACATCCCCTCCCCCTCTCGCAGCCCTGTAGAGAAATAATTAGATCCGAAAAGAAGCCTTTTATTGGGAAAAATGCGAAGGTCTCATTCTCATGGAATGAACTTCCCAGAAATTGTCTTTGGCACTTGGGTAGTTTTGCGTGAGTTCGGTGCCGGCCTTTTTGAAAGTTAAGGATTTACAGTATTCGGCACAATGGTTTCTGTGGAATTTGATTCAGAGCAAAAAAGATCGCATCTATACTGCTTTCCAAAAAGCTTCCGACTGAACACATTGAAATAATTTCCCCCAACATCCTGGTCCCTACACTACTCACCCCCCCGACTTTTTTTAAAGGGCCTGATGCAAAATGATATTCTGCCCCTTAAAAAAAAATCAAAGTGGCCGGGCGCGGTGGCTCAAGCCTGTAA